TCATATTTAAAGAATGTGCTAGCATCTTTATGCTTTTTTCCAAACGGTTCTTGATTACCAAAACTTGGAACGGTTTTTTTGGTAGAATTTTCATTTTTATTTGATACAACTGTTCTTCTATCGACAGCAATTAGCAACTACAATTTTTCGAACGTAATTGTTATTTCAAAGATATACTGATCGTATCACTCAGTTTGATGTGTGATATCAACACAATCGTTAATAATGACAGGTTTTGATAAGTCACTGAATATTAAAAGTTCATTTACTATTCATTATATGACAGTACATGGCTGTTTAGTTGACGTAATGAAAGATATCGTTTCAGGAATTGCGTGCACGACTGTTCGATATTGATTAGCAAATATTTGTTTTTAATAAATAGTGTAGGAACATTGTCAACTAAATTTTTATAATAACTATCGTGAGACGAACTAAATTAATTAAAAACACTGGTTAACTAACGTGAAAGCGTGCGCAGACGCGGCGGGAATCCGCGAAGCCAACGTTGTTTTTAATTCTCAACCATGGTTATTGGTAAATGATATAAAAATAAGTCAAAATCACAAAAAGTAAGTTTATATATAATTAATGTTTCGACATACTCTGTTGACTCAAAAACAAGATTTAATATCAAAAAATACAATCACAAAAATGCAAAGCCAAGGAACACGATGATATAATTCACAATGTATCTAGATAAGTCAATTGGAAGCGTTGCGTTTATCTTGAACAGGCCACATCCAGACATCTCCATAAACGATGATCTGTGTAATCGTTTGATATTCTTACACATTCGTTTTTTCGACTCTATTGAAATATAAAAAAAAACAGTTAATTATGTAATTTAACAAAGACGAGAGAAAATAAAAGGAACCAAGATTTAAAATAATAAATCAGATAAAAAAATATATAATTCTGAAGCTTTTATAAATGATTTGATATTATGACTATTATAATATAAAAATTTTCGTGAGAGATACAAAATTCATTATTATGTTTTCTCTCTCGACTCGAGTAGTTTCATGCTGTGCTAGAGGTTTATATTCATGAGCAGAATACCGCAATACGCGACAAGGCGACTGTCGTCTACTCCTAGAATGCTGCTCATGAATATGAGCCTGTAACATGGCTTGAAACTAGTTCAATTCCTCGTCAAACCATTACGTGAGTAAGTCGAAATAATAACAATTAAAATATGACGATTGGGTTGAAGTATGTAGACACGAACTCTATGTCCTAACTTCAGTAATCAAAATTGAAATTATTTTCAACTATAAAATTTTATCTTCAACATTATACTTCATTTGGACACATAACATCACGCCTTTTATCCCCGAAGGGTATAAGGCAGAGGTGTACACCAAAGTAACACTCACTTTTCACTATTTATGTTATGAGTCCCATGTAATAGGGGGCCTATTGCCATATACCGGGCACATTTCCAGACTCCGTGCTACTACTGATTTTTTTTTTAAAAACCCAGAAATACTTTGCCCGACCCGGGAATCGAACCCGAGACCCCTTTGCCGTCAGTCGCACTTGCGACCACTCGGCCAACGAGGCAGTCATTTGGAATATGTAAATAATATAAATTGATAAATATATTAATATAATAGGTAGAATCTCACCTACACACTGTTCAGTGTTCAATAGCAAAACACAAGTACTATACACATCTCTCATTGTAGAACTAAAGTTTTCGCACTGCACGCTTAGGCATACCAAGAAGACTATATTCTTTGCTATCCACAATTGACTCGCTACGGTCTGAATAATACCCTGAAACATATTGAATATTTATGTATATAACCTGTAACTGTCGTGGTGGCGCGGAGGTTTAAGACGCCTGCTTCTCATGCATAAGGGTGCGGGTTCGAAACCTACCAACGGCAAGTATCAAAGTGACTTTTTCCGAGTTGTATGTACTTTCTAAGATTATTTAGACACCACTGACAAACGGTGAAGGAAAAACATGGTGAGGAAACCTGGGGTTATAATTTCTAATTATAAGTTTGAAATCTCAACCCGCATTGAGCAAGCGTGGTGATTAATGCTCTAACCTTCTCCGTGTGAGAAGAGGCTTTGCTCAGCAGTGGGCATTTATAGGCTGTTGATGTTTTATATAACCATACCTTCGAGAGACACATTTACCCCCCCCCCCCCTCCCGGCCTTCCCCAATTCTTGAATCCCCAACAATCTTTAAATTCCTAATCCCAAACACCCACTTTTCACTATTTATGAGTCTCGGGTGAGAGACTCTCGTTTTTCGACTTACGCAACTGTTTGACGAGGAACTCGACTAGTTTCAAGCCATGCTAAAGGCAGTAGCAGCACAATAGTCGCCGCGTCATGTACCGTGGAATGCTGTTCAGGAATGAGTAGCTGAGCTTCTTGTGTGTCTTGAAACTAGTCGAGTTCCTCGTCAGACATTTACGTGTGTGAGCCGAAAGAGACAGTAATTAGTACGGTATATTATTTTGTGCCTTCAACTTTTTAAAATATCTAGGAGTTTTATTAATTTATCTGATAAGCTTCTTTATATAGGGAAGACCCTTAGACCAGCTGTGGACCGTCAGAGGCCGGTGATGATGTTAGTGTAGTTATTTGGAGTGCACCACACATATTTTTCTTTTTCTTGTTAATAAAAACATCGCCCCACAATAGGATTTTCTCCTGTGTCGTGGGTGCGTTTACAAACATACAAGTTCACATACACAATGACACCCAGACCCGGAACAACAATGTGTGGATCACACAAAGTGTTGTTCCGTGCGGGAATCACGTTGCACGGCATCCAGTTGCCCAGCCACCTCACTAACCGTGCAGTCAGATATTTTTGATATTTACTGAATAAATTGTGTCTATACTTACTTTGGTGGACTCAATAATAAGTAAATTCTTTACAGTTAATAAAGCTTGAATGTTCAATAAACCATGAAATACTGTATTAGTGACAGTGAATACAATCTGAAAAAAAATTGTAGTTAAAATTAATTATTATTTAATCGTCAAACAGTTAACAGTGAATAGGGAACATAATGCCTTAAGGTTTTCTCTGAGAGTTAACCATAAGATGGTACAGAGAAACACAGTGGTTAGTGCGAAGCTAGAAGGTAATAAGTAGCTAGTCTTAACTCTAGTAGCTTATTTATTCATTTTTCAGTGGTGTCTAATTATATCATCATCATCATCATCATCATCATCATCAACAGCCGGAAGACGTCCACTGCTGGACAAAGGCCTCCCCCTTAGTCCTCCACGTCGAACGACAACTCGCCACCCGCATCCACTGGCTCCCCGCAACTCTGGCGATGTCGTTGGCCCACCTAGCGGGAGGCCTAATTATATAAAGTACATATAACTCGGAAAAGGTCACATTGGTGTTTGCCATTGTAGTTTTTGAACTTGCACTCTCAACATGAAAAACGGGCATCTTTAACTCCCGGACCACTACGACGATCTCATCAATAAGATAAAAAGAATTAAGCAATCAGAGAACGTCAAGGTAAAAATTAGAAATCAATCGTGCTCATGAAAACTCTTAAAGTTATAAACAGCCATGAAAGAAAATAATGATCAGACTTCGCTTACCATAACATTGAATAATTTTTCTATCATTTTATAAGAGTTTAAAATTATTTGATGCACTTCAAACATCAGCTTCCAGTGGCTTTCATCATGTATTGTATAAGCAGTTCTCGCTCCTTTAACTTCCATAATCCAAATTTTCATTGTTTCCGTCAATAAACTTATGAGTTGAGTAGCATAAACGATGTTCATATCAAATACAATTATGCAAAATGTTGCGATGAGACCGTACCACGTAATTATAGGATATTCGAAATAACTATACATGACATAACCAATATAGAAGACGTACAAAATAATAACAAACGTCCAATTGCGTGTGATCAAACTTTTAAGATTTTCTCGTTTGATTTTGAGAATCCTGTGGCAGTACTGAATTTGTAAAACCAACAGTATGTTGTTTTTGCTCTTCGTGATATTGAACCAGCTGTTGATTATGTAACCGATGGTGTAGAAGAAGTAGTCACAGATGTTGCTGACCAACAAAAAAGTGGAGACAATTTTGCTATTAAAGGATAAAAAACTTGAAATAATTCTGTACAAACCAATGAGTCGCATAGTGAGCAAACAAATGATACCAATGAGGTTATACAAGAAACTATTTGATTCAATTCGATCACGGTAGATTCTGTACTTAGAATACAAAAACGGGACTAGCATTAAATTTAATGGTCTCAATACTGCTTGCATATCCTTTTCAACTTCATTATTTAGTAAAAACCTACGACAAGCAAAATCATTATGTATCAATTTTTTTCTTTTAACAAAATGTTCACTTTTTGTATTTGAAAGCATGTCGGCTCCAACAATTAGACAGTCATTTGGTGAAGCATTGTTATAATAGATATATTTACATTGGACATGCGAGTAAAAAAATTTTAATTTTAATAATGTTCAATTTAGTATGACACAAGTTACTGTTGTTAGTTTATTAGATTTTGTTATCTGAAGCAGAATGCTTTAAGCAACTCTAATACTTGAGCATTAAGGACTACTTTATAACCACATCATTATTAATTCAGCCTAGAGACATCAACAATTATCATGTTTCAGAGAACCATTAGAACGTTTAGCCTATCAACTCGCGAAGGACAAGACGTACTTTCAGACTCCTTGCTGTTACTAAGGGACCCGTTTCATAGGTCTTTGTTCCGCTGTGAAGATCATTATCAGCCATAAGTAGTCTTAGGGTCATATCACGCTTAACAATAAAATAAGTGTGAGAGAGCCATGCTTCAGCACGAATGGGCCGGCCAACGGGAGTGATACCACGGCCTTATAGAAACCGACGTGACACAATACTTGTGTTGTGCTTCGTGTGGTTGAGGTTACCAGAGGCCCAATTTCTCGCCTTCTTAATCTCCCCAATCTGTGAATCCCCAAAAATCTTCCAATTCTTAATCCCCAAAAGGTTGGTAACAAACGCACTTGTAACGCCTCTAGTGTTTCGGGTGTCTATGGGCGGCGCCAGTTGCATACCACCAGTTGATCCATCTGCTCTTTTACTGGCTTATGTCATAAGCAAAAATGATACGTATTATGTTTCACTAGTAATTATATATTTTATTTACTAATCATATTTACCTTTATTAAGTAAAAATAAATCTTAATTTTATTTAATTCTTCAAAAACTTACAAGTTGTATGCACGCGAACACCTTAGTAAAATCTCACAAAAACAGAAATTGGAGTATAGTAATGATGTATTTCGAGATGACTTCCACCAAAGCCATCGGTAGATCGGCGTCAACGTAAAATAGTCCACATGCGCTCATTTTACTAAAGCTTTCATTGAGGCGCAGAATGTTCTTGCAAAGACGTTTATGACTTTCTGAAAAGAAGGTTTAGGGATCCAGTCAAGTTTAATTTTTATTGTACAAAGAAATACACGTGCTGGGGGTCTTAATGCCTTGGGCATTGTCCGACAGTCGACCTTTAGGTGATGCAGAGATGTAACTGGCATGTGACTGAGCAATTTTTATCGTACTTTATGATACAATGACATAAGAAGACATAGTTAACTTGGAACAAATATCTGGGTTACTGGGTATAAGGGCAGAAACAAGTTCGAAGATTGAAAACGCAGTCGATTTAGAAGTTTGAAGCTTCTTAGAAATATATATTTATGTAGTAAGAGAACAGCATGGAAGTAGTCCCAGTTGTGGTTATGAAACAATATTGCACGTGTTAATTGACCGTATTACTTTGGACAAGAACATAGCCAGGCTTTGTGCTGATTAAAGATGTCAAAAATGATAAATCTTTTATTAGTTTAAAAAATCACTGCCCTACAATAGGATTTGGTCTTGTGTCATGGGTGCGTTTACAAACATACAAGTTTACATACACATGACACCCAGACCCGAAATGTGTGGATCTGTGGATCACACAAATAGTTAAAATGCTACACGTTTCGCGGTCATAAATCTCATACATTTTGTAATATTTATGCTCAAGACAAAAATTGGACCTAAACTAATCACATGTACATACTTTACCAAGTAAAGCACCAATAATGAATGATAATAACATATTTTTGTAATAAATATCGCACTCTCTAATAGCTAAAACTAGCGGTTAATTCACGAAGAGTTCCTCTGTGACTCGAAACTTTTAGGGCTTTTCTCAGTATATTCACGTGAATTAACCGTTTATTTAGTAACGAGATATAGTTTTGTACCTGGACAGCTTTTACTCATCATTAGCTGAAAACATGCAGTCTCCACCTCTTCAATAGACATTTGAAATTTCTCACAGCAAGCACTTTGTGCAACAATTAACCAAATATTCTTCGACAGCACTAAAAATGAGGCTATAGCCCAAGAAAGTTCCTGAAACCGAACATAATTTTTTGATAAACAAAAATGTTAGTCTCTTTCTACTGACTAGATAAATTCGATGCGTATAGCAAAGCCCAAAAGAATGTATAGGACTACTTTTAATGAGATGTAGAAATGGTAAAACGAACTTAAGATAACACTGACTAATAAAGTAAAATGTAAAATACAAACGTTAAGTCCAAAACTGTCTTGTCTTTTCAAAAGGACGACCGAAATAAAAACATTACACATGCATCGAATAAATATGTAAAATGAAGCCAAAAACAAGACCTGAAACAAACAACAAATATTCTTTCATTAATTTGCATAACTTCTTATCTTATTTAATAACTTATTCTTCTCCATAGCACTATTTCTATACTGCCAAATTTTATATCACTTATTTCTGCACACCATAGTATTTAAATTCTTTCTCAAGTAATAAAAACTTACCACAATCTGAAAAATAGTTTTATACAAATCATGAGCAGCCAAAATATTCTCATAGATCTCAAATAAGGAGAGGCACTTTTCATAATTTTCTCGCTCATGTTTTATATCTAACAACATCTTTGCCCACGTATCGACATACTTTTTCAACAATACAATGATTTGGATGGACACAATCGAATTGATATCAGTCAATATGCAGACCAAGTCGGTGAGACAATCAACAACACGGTCACTGATATTGAAGAAAGAAAATGTTGAATAAAACAGGCCTAATATTAAGATATTAATAATAAAAACAATTGCAATAGAGATCCAATTCCATATGACAACGTTTTTGACAGCCTTTTTGATGTTGATGCTTCTGTTTAAGGCCTCAATCTTTAAGATGAAAGAAACGCTGTTATGTTTATGAACAATGCTAAGAATGAAGGTCACAATGAGAGCAAAGATGACGACAATGTAGTTGAATCTCGCCGGTATTATGACAAATTTGTTCTCAAAATTAATCTTTTCGTATGTGAAATGAACAGTCATCAGTCGGTAGAAACATAAACAATTCGTCACAAATGTTATAAAGAATGATATTATATCATGTCTTCTTTTAGCAGGATAAATACGATTTTTTTTAACATCGCATTTTAAAATCAGATACGGATTTACATTGAAAATAGGGTGATCCACTAATGTTTGTAAGTCTTTGTGAACTTTATTATCTTTCGTCTCTTCCAGTGACTCAATGAACAACATGACTTTTCCCATTTTTACAATGTGACCAATTTACGACGTAGAATTTTTATGGAAAAGTTCATGAGATTGTAAGTGGACTACATTTAGGTTAATTTGAATAAGGTAGCACTGTCAATAAAAATGGTCACGTAAATGCTTCTAACAATATTGTAAACGTAAAGTAATTATCATTAACGATGATATGAATAGAAAATGTCATGAAGGAAAATATCCGGCCTGCAAAACAAAAACAACTAATCCCATTATAGATGGCATTGAATGACTTCATTCGTAGACGTTTAAATATCTCGTAGTGGTAATTACGGCAGAGTAATTAGCATGCCAGTTGATTTCAAAGTATAATATAAACTGTCTAAACATTAATTTGATTTTTGGATGGAAGAATGGATTTGGTTAATAGATATCTCTGAAAGATTAGTAAAATGGAGAGGCACACTATACTCAAAAATTGTGGAATTCAAGTGATTTTGTTATCATCAACATCTTCAACAGCCAGAAGAGTTCTACTTCTGGGTAAAGGCCTTTCCTTAAGTCCTTCGCATTGAACGACAGCTCGCCATTGGCCCCCAAGAGTCTGAGAGTCATCGCTGATTTCTTAAATCTACAAGAAAGCCTACATCAACAGCCTGTCCACTGCTGCCCTCTGCTCACACGCAGAAGGTTTCAGCACTAATCACCACGCTTGCCCAATACGGGTTAGCAATTTCAAACTTATAATAATTAGAAGTTATAAGCCCAGGTTTTCTCATGATGTTTTTCTTCATGTTTCCTTCCGTTTGTTAGTGTCTAAATAATCTTAGAAAGTACATATAACTCGGAAAAATTCATATTGGTACTTGCCGTTGGTAGGTTTTGTACCGGCACCCTCATGCATGACAAACGGATGCCTTAACCTCCGGGCTACCACGACGACAAGAAAACCTATTAAGCATTTATAGGCATACGTGATTCATGCTCGGTATACAAATGACAATATATAGTAAACGCTATATTTAGAAATTAATACTGTTTTAATCATAGAATTGCTCAATGTTGTTCTTACGTTTGATGCCAACTAAGTAATGAATTTCTGATAGATATATGAAAACAAATGTAAAGATAATAGAAACTTAATGGCTTACTTGCACTGCAGTAATCTATCGCTTTTGTACAAGTAAGCTTCAAATCCGCTTCGCAGCAGAATGAAATTATTTAAAAATACTCACGTGATCCCAAATCAAAACACAGTAAATAATTTTGTGGACAAAGACGTGCAATCAATGTTTGTGCCTCTAAATTTGATGCAGTACATGATGTGTTGTCCTAAATACCGATTCCAAAATAACTATATATCTCCAAATAAGTTTATTACTAATTTTATTTCATTGATTGGGACCATAGTTATTAATTTGATATTTGTTCATCGCTGTTATACGATGGCCACTACTAACGATGATTTTAGATATACCACCTTCATGAATATTGCTGCCTTTCTTGATTGTATCTACTACAGTTTCGGGTTCATCCTTAACTTTCTGATCGGCGTTATTTCTTCAAATAACAATATCGAATTCGTTTTGTGTTTTCAAAAAGTGCATAGATCTCTTAGCATTAACAAGTCCAGTCTTAGACGTTTCACCATTATAAATTGGATGTGCGTCATAATTGCGTTTTGTAGTTACATGATCCCTTTTTCTTACTTTTGCTCCCAACTTACCTATTATGTTGTGTACGGTGATTATTTTTTAATGTTTTTCGATTTCAATACACTTTACACTATACGAATGTTGAAACTCTTGGAAGATAAAGTCAAGGAGTGGCAAATACGTCTTTTCAAGTCACGAAGAATTAAAAAATCCTGCAATGAAATGGATAGTTATGAAATGTTTCATGCTTTCGCAAGTATTTTAGAGTGTTATGATATTTTTAAGACTTGTTTTCAACATTATGTAAGTAACTACAGAGGTAGTATAATTTTATTATTACTGCATACTTTTTTAAATGCACTTACAGAACAAGTTGTACTGTTGTCATTTACATTGACATAGTGAATTTATAAGAAGTTTAATAAATTGATCATTTATCAATGTTCAATTTTTTTTTTTCATCTTTTCAGTTCACAAGGTGGTTGGTTAAATCAAAGTTTGTGTTTTTTTCAGATGCTGTATTATATTGTAGAAGTTTTCATCCACTCTCTTATTTACGTTCAAGTGATGATTGATACTTTTAAAATAGATAACAATATTGTGAGTTGATTTTATTTTATTTCTCGAGACATGTCATAGTTTGTGTGTGTTTAAAAGATATATTAATACGTCGTATAAGTGGAACAGGTTACCGGAACTTCGGCTCGAAGAGCGGGGGTAAAGACGGAGTGTTTTTTTAGGTAGTAGAGTCTGACACTCCTACTCTCC